GACGAGCCGATAAAGAAACTCAATAAATGTAATAATAATGTTAAATTGGTCTTACAGTTGTTAAAGACCATGGATGAAAAGATTAATGAGAAAAAGGGTTTAAGGAAAATGGAGAAGCATCTGAAAAGAAAGGCGTAGGCAGACCAGTAGCGGACTTCGAAACTACAAGAAAGCAACATTTGGAAATGTTGAATGCAAAAAGAAAAAACAACCTAAAGAGACCACCATACAATATTATAAGATTGATTATGATGAGGACACTGAGAAGTACTCTTGGAGTATTTTGAAGATTTCCGAGAAATATTCGTAGAATATTTCGAAGTGCCCGAAGGGACACTGAAAAATACTCATAACAATATATTTTCTTCATCAACAAGAAATGATTATGAAACTACTTGAACTATTTAGTGGGACTGGTAGTGTTGGAAGAGTTGCTAAAGATTTAGGTTATACAGTAGTATCGCTTGATCTTAAAGATGCTAGTATCAATGAGTTCTTTTGAAATGGGATTATAAGAAACTTGAAAAGACTTTGACGTTGTCTGGGCGTCTCCAACTTGTATTGAATACAGTAGAGAAAAAACTACAGGTGTTAGAAAGATTGATGAAGCAAATGAAATAGTCAAGAAAACTATTGAAATAATAAAGTATTTTGATCAAAAGGCGTTTTCATTGAAAACCCACAGACTGGACTTTTGAAACAGCAAGAGTTTATGAAAGGCTTTGATTTTTTTGATGTAAATATGGAATGCCATATAGAAAGCGCATCAGACTTTGGACAAATATAAAAACTTGGACACCTAGACCGTTACGTAAAAAGGACTGCGGCCAAATAGAAGGAAACAGGCATGGGGAAACAGCACAGAGGGCACCTAGTAACAGGAAGGAAACATGGCCAGAAAACTATACATTATTTAAGCAAAGGGACTTGTATAGAATACCTGAAAGTTTGATTAAAGAGATATTTGGTGCTATAAACGAGTTATTTACTATACTATGTTTTTCTATAAGCGGGCTTGATGCTAGGTTGGTTCCTATGAAAAAACTACGGTGGATGATGTGAAGTGAATGAGTGGGGGAGTTGGTGAAAATGGTTCCTATGATAATGAATATGAATTCGAATTTGGATGGATATGAAATGGAAAATATGATTTGGTGAGATGATAATGAATGGGTGTAGCAAGATTGGGATCAGGATTTGAATGATGATGTGGGGAATGGGTTGATGAACATTATGTTTTGATGGTGGGTGACTGGTGACAATGATAGGGTGGGTGGGGGGCAATGATGAAAAATGAGGTGAGGTGAAAATGATAGAGCGAACCTCCCCCAAGGTCTTGCGCTACTTCTTCTGTCAGGACCTTTTCATTACAAGCACCGAATTTACTAATAGCCATAGGTCTACCCGCAAAAGGATACTACGCCTGCACAGAACTGAGATGCTGGCACTGTAGGCGACGAGGATGGTGTTGCATAGGTTGGTTGCCCAGCAGTGTGCACAAGGTCACACAAACCCCAATCCATGGAACACAGCCCGACACCACACATGGCATATCATAACGCAAAAAACTATAACGAACGCTGATGCGCCAGCTGTGTTTGCTGAGTTAAAGACAACACGCCAGCCGTATTTGCTAAATTACTGGCAAAAGCAGTAGTGTCACAGCACAGTTCCAAGCAGAAAATGCAAAACCCTATATGCATAGCAAACCCCCAGACAAGAGGAGCAGAGAATGAAGGTCAATGGAGGACTTTTCTGCAGATCGCAATTGCAAAGCGCCATGTTGATCTGGTCAAGGCCAGTGCTGTTCACCTCTTGTGATCCCCCTGACGAAGCTGCTGACGCTCCAGTTCAAGTTGAACTCTGCACCTCGCGGTCCCGCCGCTGACCAATGTGACGAAATCTACACGGCAGGCAGCCGCGGGCCAGCGGCGACCACGCGCGCCGCAGCTGGTCCCTCTACACTCCAGGTGCAAAGAGCGCTGTGCCTGCCACGAAATCTCCCTTCCAGGTTTACCAAGCGCTGTGCCTGCCACACAAACGACAGCCGCGGCCCAGCCGCGGCCCAGCGGCGACCACGCGCGCCGCAGCTGTTCCGGGAGGCTCCGTGCACTGTGCCTGCCACGAAATCTACACTCCAGTTGCGCAGAGTGCTGTGCCTGCCACACAAACGACAGCCGCGGCCCAGCGGCGACCACGGGCGCCGCAGCTGTTCCGGGAGGCTGCGTGTACTGTGCCTGCCACGAAATCTACACTCCAGGTGCACTGACTGCTGCGCCTGCCACACAAACGGCAGCCGCGGCCCAGCGGCGACCACGCACGCCGCGGCTGCTCTAGGAGGCTCTGTAAGATAGGTGGTTCAAGATAAGTGGTGTAAGATGGTGGTCTAAGATGAGTGGTGTCAGAGAGGTGGTGTGAGATGGGTGTTGTCAGAGAGGTGGTGTGAGATGGGTGGTGTAAGTGGGTGGTGTAAGATGGGTGGTGTAAGATGGTGGTGTATGATAGGTGGTGTAAGATGAGTGTGTAAGATGGTGGTGTGAGATGAGTAGTGTGATAATGGTGGTGTAAGATGGGTGGTGTAAGATATGTAGTGTAAGGTAAGTGGTGTAAGATGAGTGGTTTAAGATGAGTGGTGTAAGATGGTGGTGTAAGATAAGTGGTGTAAGATGAGTGGTGTAAGATGGTGGTGTGAGATGAGTAGTGTGATGTGGTGGTGTAAGATGGGTGGTGTAAGATAGGTAGTGTAAGATGAGTGGTGTAAGATGGGAGGCGGCGGAGGCGGCGGAGGCGGAGGCGGCGGCGGCCGCACGGAGTGGCGGGCGCAGAGCGAAAAACAAGAACCCCACATAGTGATGTGGGGAAAAAGAATCAGGACCTGTGTACTGGTCATTGCTTGGTGATTTGTTTGCTCCCTCTCGAGTTTGTCCAAGTCCTTACTGGTTTGAATGATGTCTTTGGTGCCCTTTCCATGGGTTTTTCCCCACCTGCCAGGTGAGGGTTGTTAGATTTTATCACAGTTGTTCTTCCTCTTCCTTCCTTCCTTCCTTCCTTCCTTCCTTCCTTCCTTCCTTCCTTCCTTCCTTCCTTCCTTCCTTCCTCCTTGCTTCCTTCCTCGCCAACCTCCTCGCCAATCTTCATCACCAATCTTCATCGCCAATCTTCATCGCCAATCTTCTTCGCCAATCTGCTTCGCCAATCTGCTTCGCCGATCTTGTCTGGCAAGCTCCGGGTCGCAGTGTGCGCCCCTGGACCTCAACCGCAAGGATCCGATCGCAGTGTGCACCCCTGG